TGTGTGTGTGTGTGTGTGTGTGTGTGTGTGTGTGTCTGTGTGTGTGGGGTGTACTCTGAACAGAAATTAGAGGGGTACAACACTGACAACACATGCCAAAAATGAGAAATGTGCCATTTTTATGACAAACACAGACACTGGCATCCACTGACAGGAGACATCCTATTTGTAAGAAAAGGGGGGGGGAGTGTTTTCATAAAATCCAAGGCTAGAAAACAGAAGCAGGTTCCCGTGTTTCAGTCCGGTGTTGCTTTTCCAGTGATAATGGCTCTCCCATGAATCGCTGAATGTGAGTAATAAAAGCAGATTTTATTACCTTTTTGTGTCCTCCCTTCAAGACACAAACATCATTTCTACACAGTTAGATTGTGTTCGAGTCACTTGTCTTCCTCTCATCCTCTTGAAGAGGATGCCATTTTAGCTCTGCTTGGCCTCTATGGTTTGGAGAGCTCCACACAAGTGCTTCATGGAACAACAACAGTGAGAAGTTTTAGATTTTCAAGGCACCTACATCCTGCAGCACCACACTTCCTGTAAAAAAAAGGAGAGAAAAAAAGGGAGGGGGGGACAACATAAAAACAGAAACATTAGGGATGAGCGTGTGACAGATAATCTAGAGGAGAGAGGATGCTTTCACTTGGTGCTAACAGTGATGGTGCGTGGGCGGATGAGATGGAGGATGATGGCTGTAAACTCACATTAGGAAACACCTCCCCCTAWCGGAGGGATCCACATTCAAACGGAGCAACAACAGCAAGAAATTACAGCATCATTTGACTGCACTGTGCCCTGCCTACACATTTACACACCTGGTGTGTGTGAGTGTGACCTGATTTTACTGTGTTGTAGTTGTAAGATCCTGCTTCTGACAGAACCACGTACACACAAAGTGCATTAAAAAAAAACATAAAGCTCTGTCTCTCCAGCGTCTTTAAATTCACCACATTCACCCTTTGTTTTTCTCTCTCTCATTTTTTWAAACTTTTTTCACCCTCCCTGTCTCCCGCTCTTTGCCCCCTCTTTGTTTCTGCCCCCCCATCTTATACCCCTCCGTCATTGGCTGGTTGGGCTGTAAGGGGTCACATTTGACAGCGCTAAGAGTCAGCGAGTCACAGAGCMGCGCTACAGAGATAATTGCCATGTGATAAAGAGGTGATTGCCTCCTAGCACCTGGGGAGAGTTATGCCATCAGGTTGCAATAAAAAAAAAGCAGACGTCTGACACTAAATGAATGCTACTGGAGCCCAGGCAACTTTCTTTGCTCGTTTTCATCTCACGCAATTGTCTTTTGTCCTCTTGTCTCTTTTCTCTTTGCTCTTCCAAGAGGGAAGAAAAGGCAGCGAGAAAAGCTTGTGTCTGGGATGACGACTCAGTTTTGCTCATTCTCCGCTGAAGACATATGCTATCTGCTGGGTAGTGCATAAATAAAAAGAAAGTGAAAGACTTTTGAATAAAGAGCCTTTRAATTTCTGAAAGAGGCACAGGAAAAGTAAGACAGAGCCACTTGTTTTCCTGTCAACACAAGC